AGTAATTGCTAAATCTATGGCATTGTATATTCTACAAGTATACAGAAATATTTAGTTGTATATTACATGAACGAAGACACACGTCATTATCACCTTCTGGTTATCAGGCCCGACATTACAATATAAGCCATAACCCGAACATGACAAACCAACCAATGACGCTCATCAATTCTTTTTCCTTTTAACACTTATTAAAGAACGTATTTAAAATGAATTACATAGAAATATGAAATTAATACACAAATTCTAATTTACGTAGCATTCTAACTGCGTAAATTTGGGAACGGGCGACTGATGGATTAGTAATTTTGATTTCATTTTTTTCTAACAGATTTTAAATACTTTACGAAAAATTAATGTGCTAAACGTATAAAAAGATCCAATATAGAAACGAACAAAGAAATGTGAAATAATATTACAGATTCTAACTTATAAAGCATGGTATAAATTCTGTGGAAAAACTCATCATGTAGTACTCAGACCTTTAGGATTGCAAAAGAAAACTATTCGAATAATGAAAAAATGCCATCCGCGTTATCTTGCAAGCCTCTCTTCATTGAGCTTGAAAATCTTACCACTTGCCTTCCTATATATTTACGAATCTGTTTATAATGGCAAAAGTGACTTACTTAAACGGTCGGGAATATTATTTTCATGCAATACTATTATTTATAATTACAACACACGTCGTAAAAATCACTTCATCAAGTGTCAGTATCAATAGCTCACTATCAGAAATCCACATGACAATACCATGTACGTTACTTTATAACGCATTGCCAGATGACATTAAAGTACACAACAAATTTTAAGGTTAAAGTTAAAATCTTTTCTGCTGCATAACTGTTTCTATAAATTAGAGACTAAAGATCAAAATTGCAAGATCAAAAAGGGAAGATCAAAAAAGAGATCAAAAGAAAAAATAATGTTTATTTTAACAAACAGTGATTATATACTAATTAGTTTACATTTGTATTGTATAATTATTTTAAAGTAATTAAAGATGTGTGTCATTGCCAACAATGTTTTTTAAATTCAAAAGCAGCTTTCGATGGCCTTAGCAACATCATCATGTTGTTGCTAGATGGAAGCACAAAACGACTACCAATCTTCTACCAGGCTTCCATTCTAGCAGACAACTGATGATGATGGGCTAAGCCATCGAAAGCTGCTTGGGTTGAATTAAAAAAACATTTGTTGGCAATGGACAACACTTTAATATTTTAAATATACCAAAGATATCTTACCACAACACCTATATTTTATTCTGTTTAAAGGACTTAATGTATTTTAACAAATAATGACTTCAGTTTCCGTGTCAATGACCCCCATCTCGATCAGGTTTTTGTGCCAGTTTCCATGCATCCATTGAGCAAATGCTGAGATGTCCCCTTGTTTTCATTCTGAACTCCTTAAAATGGTATGTTCACTATGGACGGTTTTGTTGAAACTCTCCTTTTGCTAGTAATGTGTGAGAGTAGAAGGTAAGGGTGAGTTGCTATTTTGTTAGGCAAATGCAGAAAAATCATCTTGCAATTAGTGTACCGAGTGCAAAATAAGTTTTTTAATAGCTGGAAGAGAAACAAAAATGGCACCATGTTTCAAATATTGCATATCTTACGATTTTAAATTTATTTATTTATGTGAAAAAAACTTTACTCACCTTTTCAAATATTTAATAGTAAAATGACGGAAGAGGATTCTGTAACTCAAGAAAAGCATCGCAGATAATATTTTTCCCCCTACCGTCACATTACAGTTTTTACTGGTTTTTTGACTGAATAAATCTAAATCTAAATCCAACTGTTTCAAAATACCTCTAAAATTACAATCAAGATGCACAGGATTTTCAGAGCGAG